CAGTACTTGGTCCTGCTAGTGAAGGCAGGGGGCTGGACTCAATGACCTCTTCGGGTCCTTTCCAGTTCTATGAGATAGGTATATCTCCATATATTCACCCCTTTCTTTAAATCTCACCACTGGCTCCCCCTTCTCTATTGCATCAAACTGCTTGTACTCACTTTCAAGGCTCCACACAGCCAATTCCCCCACCCTATCATCTCTCATTTGTTATCAGGCTTTCAATGCTTGCTTGCAATCAGCCAATGATGCCAGTCTACTGCCCACTTGTTACATTTTCAAATACCTTTGTACTTTCTCCCATGCTGCCCTACATGCTTGGGAGGCACTCCCCATAAACATCTGCAAAGTTCTCTCATTTCACCCTCAAATCCCTCCTCAGAATTCTCATTTCCCATGATGCTTACAAAAAACAAACACACACACACTTAACAGGTAGGCTGCTGGTGTGCAGAGACCACTGCCTACCACGCTGACCAATACAGTCAGTCTGCACCTGTTGTCTCTCGTCATATACTTGGACTGTAAGTTCACTGTGAAAGGGACAATCTTGCTGTTTGTGTGTGTATAGTACCTAGCACAACGGGTCCTGATCCTAGGAACTACCACAATACAATAAATATTAATAAGAAGTGTAGATGCAGTTTTGTTTTATATAAGGGAATATATCAGAATTGCTCATGCTAGTCAGAGAACCAGCATAAGGTATACCAGTACAGTATAAGCATTTTTATAAATAAAACTGTCTCTAAACTAGGAAGGCTTGCCAGTTTAATTATACTGGCATAGTTAAATCAGTAAAGCTTTCTGGGGAGGATTTAAGTAAAATGTAGTGAGCCTTGCAATGTTGCTCAATTTCACTGAAAAACAAAAAAAGAGAGAAGGGGTACACTTTCCAAGTGCCACAGATAAACGTTAGACTGCAATAATTAAACACTTAACAACAACTATTATACTTAAACTGCAGTGCTTGAAAATCATGCCAAAACCCACTAGCCTGCATTCAAGGCAACCCCAAGATCGTAGACCAAATTCCTCTCTGAGGTCTTTTTTTTTTTTGCGCAGAGTGGGGGAATCCCACCAGTGCACAGTGGGGTTGCACCGGTATCAAAAAGAATATGGGTTAATGAAACAGAAGGTGTACAAATCAGAACAAAACTGAAGCCTTTAAAAGGCCAAAAAAGAGACTTTTCTTATGTTTGGAAATACCAGAGTTGATTAATTAGGCTATATTATGAAGAGGAAGTTGCCTATGGATAGTTAAAGTTGTAAGCAGTTTCCCTTTCACTCACACACTCTGAAATGAAAGAGAAATGGTCTCTCTGGTTCAAATTTCAAATGTGACCTGAGAACAAAAGAGAATTTTTAAGGCCAAATTTGGGAAAGGTTCAAGAAATTTTGGAGGGGGAGGGAGGAGAATCAGAAGCAGTTAGAGAAGCAGTAATTTGAAAGTTAAGGAGTCACGTTTGGAAAATTCTTTTCATGCTTTTGTCATCACTTTGATACTTTCCATTTTACGACAGAAAGAAATAAGAGAGCACCTGTTGCATGCCTACATGATGAACTGTAGTCACGCACATATAGGAACTGCAGACAGCAGAAGGAATCAAACCTCCTGGGACCCCTATCACTAAACAAACGACTATCCTAAAATACCATTTGAGCTAAAGAATAATTCATTTAGCTGAGAGAGAAGCAGCTTTTAGCCACAGCTGTGGCATCTTGTTGGCGGAGGCCATTCAAGGGATGGATTGAGAAAGCACATCCACCTGCCATCATAGAAATGTAGGACCTCAACAGGTCATCTAGTCCAGTCCCCTGCAGCAAGGAAGGACTGATTATTATCCAGACTATCCCTGATAGGTGTTTGCCTAGCACGTTCTTAAAAACCTCCAATCCTGGAGATTCCATGACTATTTCTATCTATTCCTATCTTGGCCTGCTCAGTGCAGCTTCCAAGTTGTGCTGGTCTCC